TACTACAATACATAAAAAAGGTCAGCTCATTCTGCAGGCTATAAGCTACCCTGTCTATTCGGAAATAAAAATGGTCACACACACTCAAAAAATAATCATTTTTTATTCTACAAAGAAGAAGGCATTTTTTCATGTACACATACAAACTGTATATATTAACTGCCAAGTTTCATGACCCCCCCCCCTTTCCAATACTCCTACAATTATGAGACAGACTTTTTTTCCCCTTGACATAGGCATTTTTTTCCACGTGATAAATAAAGTTGATTCTGATTCACTCTGAGAAAATCACAAAGGACTCCGATCCCGACGTTAAAAAACAAAACACGTCATACATTCTGCTGACCATTATCCACTGTTAATTTTTGAAGATTTGACGATATTCTTAAAAGTATCATCAGATGTTCTTCGCCAAAAAATCAACACACATTACCAGGGATTTTTCAATACATTTCAAATGATAATTTTAGATCATAGAGTGTGATTTTTTTTATATAAAGGTTATTTTTAGGTTTCAATTAAAATGCTTTGTGAATGTGTCAAAGGAAAACATTTTATTAAAGAAGTCGAGGAACTCCTGGGGGTACGGAACTCGGGGGGTCTCGTTCGCGGATCGTGCAGAAAAAAAAATCTTATTTTTATTTGAACTTGAATTCATGGCCATAGGAACCGGGGGGGGGGGGTCTGAGTGCTAGTCACTGCGCCCCAAAACCAGCATGGCATGAACGCCCCAGAGTGTTTTACCGGCGCCCAAGTACAAAATTAATATGAGCGCCCCAAATTTAAATCACGAGCGCCCCAAACTTATTTCACGAGCGCCCCAAATGAGCATTTCGAGCGCCCCAAGACTTGTAAACTAGTAAAGATTATTACTTTTACTAAATGTCGATGTTAATAAACATTAATATGAACAATTATTCAGTAACGAGCGCCCCAAAATATATATACCGATCGCACTAAGATGTATATGTTACATGTATCAGGAACGCACCAAGATGCAGGTGCTATTTTAAAACGTTTTTTCTCTCTTTTTTTAATGTTTATATACGTAACTTATCGAGCTGAAATCTATACTACTATATTAAAATTATAGACTCGAATTTTTGGCCTTTAATACCGATAAATCGGAAGAGTACTGTCTTTTGTTTTATATATTTTAAACATCATTGGTACTTGAAGATTACCAATTTGTTTTTATTTTTTCTCAATTAAGTTTCGCTAATTAATAATCAACGAAAATTCCTCAAAAAATTCCGGAAATCATCTGGATTTTTTGGATTTTACAATCTTGCGCATGCGCATTACATTCACGCTAAGTCACGGTGTTTAGAGGAGACAAAAGTACTAAGAAGTTATATATTTGTTATTTTATAATATCTCTAATAAGAAATCATAAATATATATGAACAGAATATAACGCAAATTTCCAATGAAAATTTACATGTATTTGTATTATCGTTTCTGAGTTTATCCATGCAAATGTGATATTGTGGCCACGTGGGTAATCATTCGCCATCTCGGAGACACATTTATCAGGTCTAGGCGGCCTCTGTTTTTGGAGGATAGATTTTATCCTCTGAAAACAGAGGATAGCGGTCTTGCCACCTACCGGAATTTTCAAAACTAAGGGCAGTTAACTCTTAACCAAACAAATAACAGCAACTCTTGCATTTTTGAACCGTACGCTGACTTCGAAATCAAAACAAATAAAAGGTACAATTTCATATGATGATGGATAATTCCAGATATTACATCAATATAACTATATTTTTGTAATTTGCCGTCAATCATTTATTCGGTACACAGCTTGGAAAATAAATATTGCGCTTACCTATACCTGTGACTGAGGTTAATTATAACCATGCTGATTTTCCAGTACCGTAATTATGTGATAAGCAGTTTAGAAATTTTGATAAACAATTTTTTTTGAAAAATTAATTTTAATCATTTATTATTTCTTTCATTCATAATTATTAAGCACATCACTTTGTAATATTTTATTTGTTTATGTATATACATGGCTGTATGAATATATGTTAATTTCTTAGTAAACATGTTAAATTATTAATTTTATTTACTTATACTATTCAAATTATTTATTTTTATAATTATTCATTCAATCCATTTATACTTTTATTTGCTTAAATTCTAAGGCAGAGTATATTTTGCGTTTTAAATATGCTTAAAATGCGTTTCCTTTTGTGTTTCCTTTTTTTGAATTAAAAGAAAATATAAAAGAAATATAAAGTCCTTTTTTATTTGTCTAAATAGGGAAAAATCATAAAAAATAAAACAAAATAACAAGAAATATTCAATAATAATGGAGCGCAAAAAGTGCTAACTTTGAAAATAAATTGCAAAATATCTAGACATAGAATCTAAAATCGCCACATACAATCGATAGTTTAATGTTTGAACTTTTATTTACATGTACTCTGGTGCTTGCACTTTTTGATTAAAGGTAGGCACGAGGTGTTTGAAAATTACCTGTGTTATCCTCTGAAATCGGAGGATAAACTATCCCACAATGCAACGCGGTTTCCATATATGGTAAAAATTTTGGCCGCCATATTGAATTTAGCTATCCTCCAAAAACGGAGGCCGCCCAGACCTGTTTATTATATGTTATTTATGTCTCTGGCCATCTCAACGGAGGCAAAAAGCACATGATCGTAGGAGCAATATTAATGTAACTACCCGATTTTATTTTATCCTTCCTTTCTTTTATCCTTTTTTGAGGGGAAAGGGGGGGGGGGGTTACAACTCCAGCTAGAATCACATCTTAGTGAAGTAGGCATTCTTTTTCCTCCAAGAATTACAATAACATTATTTTCATTTCTTAACTTTGAAATACAATTATTACAAATTTGTAAATCGAAATAATCAAATAACGTCAATATAACCGATATTTTCAATTTGAAATGTGTATAAATGATTCCAACTTGAATTTGTTCGCCATGTTTACTATTACCACTGCTGAGATTTATAACGCGATAAATATGAAACATAAACTAAGGGCAAAGAAATATTTGATTCCATGCAAAATATTCACATTATATTTCTTACGAGAGTGTAGTGAAATTAATAGCATTATTGTAGGCTTATAGCTTTGTTATGTAAATACATGTAATGACCTCTGACCCTGATCAGAGTGAACACAGTGAACACCCCCCGAGTTACCTGGGGCCCAGGTATAACCAATCAAATCCTATAGTCATGTTGTCAACAACACGTACCTCCTGTCTTTTATGTATGCCTTTGTGTTTATTGTCCTGCCTGTTTGTCCGCATGTATGTCCATGGATATGTACCATGCATTCGTAGCTGTTTTTTTAAATAACAAAATGCTTTCTTAAGTGGCTCATGTGAGATATGCATGACAGTAGCATAAAAGTAGCATTACAGAAAAAAAAACATGTAACCCGTATCAGCAGATTATGTAATTTTTTTCTGCAATGCTTGCGCCGTGCATTTCCCACGTGTACCATCAAAGAAAACATTTTTTTTAAATTCACCTCCAAAAAAATATCCGATATGCACATGGATGCATTCATAACAATGTCAACCCGTGCACGCACGGGTCAAAATCTAGTATTTTTAGAATGAAACAAATACAACAGAGTGAATTTCGATCTTTTGATATTTTTTTAATGATGTTCTAAAGTCTTCTGAATATTTCGATTAAAGTATACTTAAATTAAATTTCTAATTTAATAATTGCTAGAAAGTTTATTGCAAAACTCTACTTCGAATAGATATAGATAGACTTTAACACTGAAGTAACTATTATTTACATTATATAACCAGAGATTTTTTAAGATTACCATAAAATTTATACATTTATTTACATGTATATAATAATTGTTATTCCATTTGGAAAGATGTAGGCTGTAGGATCAATATGATAGGGATACAAAAATTATTAGCTACATTTTTACATTATAAATTACTGCTTGATTAAACGGACAAGTGCTCTATTAATTGACTTTGACCAGTTGACTTTTGTGGATGAAATTATTTTAGATATCCAAGCCATGTTGTTATACACGCATTAATTTGGGTTTCCATATAGATTACAAGGGGTTGTTATACAAAATTTTTAGGTGTGAAAATCTGCTACGATGTGTTTACAGCTATATTTCGGTATTGGGTCCGTTCGCCCTCTCTACCATGATTATTCTTGTTCGCCCTGTACCTGATCGCCCTATCGTAAATAATCATTATCAATGAATTTAGTGTCATCTACCATAGAATTTTTAATGTCCCTAGGAGAGTTGCTGGACTCATGTTTTTCATTGTGGACAGGACTTACAGGTTTTTGCTCACTTTTCATTTGAGAATGAGGTTTGCTACTAATGTCAGAGAGGTCATCTGATTCATGTTCATCATTATTGAAAGGCGAAAAACCATTTGACTGAATATAGGCAAAAGTTTGATTGGAGTTATTCACAGAGTCATCAAACTCTCTTTCATCAATATTTGTAGGAGACATGTCATGGGATTGGTAAGGGTCACAAGTTTGGTCAGTGTTATTCAGAGAGGGAAGATAAATAAATCTGTATTTGCTGTAGAATTAGGGTATTCCGGTTTTGGTTTTCCATAAGAATGTGTTAATTTTTTGTGTGTGGGTTTTTTTTTAAATTAAAAGAAAATATAGAATGTAACAAACTCTGATTTAAAATTTCTAAATATTTGAAAATCTTGATAAATTTTTAATTAACTATTTCTTCCTCTGGTTTCAGTATTTTCATATTTTAAAAATTATTTTAATTTCTCTTGTGTTTTGTTCTCTTAGTAACATATGTATAATTATTAATAATTCAATTTTTTGGAAAAAAAATTTATTCATATGTTTTGAAACTTTTCATTATTGTTATATATTAAAATCGTCTAGCACGTCAACTGGCAGATGATGAGCTATGTTGAATATATTGGGTCGGGAACGTTGTACTTATTATTATTAACCACAAAAATAAGGATGTCGTGTACATTTACTGATTTAGATGAAAAAGAGTTTAAAGACAAGTGATTTTCATTATGATTAGACTATTGTAGGCAATTTCCTGTCAGAGTTGCGTAAGTCGGTAAGATAAGACAACAAACATGGCAAGGAGAGGACAGAATCTTGGTGTGTTTTTACTCGCGATGCAGATGATGAATATAGGTGTAGAAAATATACCACCAGTTACTTTAATAACGACGATCCTTCAAATTGCTATATTTCTGGAATTAGGGGATCTCTTTAGATGGTTTCCATCACCAAGTCATGTGTGTATAAGTGCATTCAACGTATGGGATAGAAAAGAATGGAACCGAATTGTTTTAGGTTCTCTATACCATGCTCACGATTTTCATCTTTACTATAACATGGCGTCATTCCTTTGGAAAGGAAGGATACTGGAAAGGCGTTTCGGAACCCCGTACTTTGGATTTCTCTTGGCAGTTTTTACAGTATTAACCAGTGTTGTGTATGTAGCAATTAGCATCGCTCTGTCAGAAATCCTTGATGATAGATCTTACAGAATGACTTGTGCTGTTGGATTTTCTGGAGTCATTTTTGGTTTGAAAGTTTTGGTAACTCATTACAGTCCTTCAGGTACCCAGTATGCCATGGGATTTATACCAGTGCCGAGCAAATACATATTCTGGGCAGAACTTGTCCTTATCCAGTTAATTACCCCCAATGCTTCATTTGTGGGTCATTTGGCAGGAATTCTTGTTGGACTGCTATACATTAAAGGACCATTAAAAATGATCATGGATAGCTTTCTGCAGCCTTCTGATTACAGGCGCTTCTATGGTGGTGGATATTCAACAAATAATTACTCGGACTACAGATACAATGCAGGATATGGAAATAATAACTACCCTGGTTATAGAAATGACAGGTACAGTGATTATACAGGAGGGTTGTCTGAGGAGGAGCAGATTAGAAGGGCCCAGGAGGAAAGCCTCAGAGGTACCAGAAATTCTGAGAGACTTTATCCAGACCTTGACGAATTAAGACAAAGGAGAGCAGATCGATTTAATTAGTGTATTGTATCAAACCAAGTAGACTAACACCAATCATGGTTATGGACCTCTATCATATTTACACGTTTTTATAAAGAGAAAATTCTTCTACCATGTTGATTATGTTTATCCTTTTTCATTTATACAGCACAGAAAGCTTTGTTGAATGATTTATTAAAGCTCATGATAATGTCTGTGATTCAGTATCTTTCCTTTTGGTATGGATCTGTTTTGAGTATACATGTAACCTGTATAAATTTAATCAGAATTGATGACTATCATATTGACCTTTTGTTTACCAAAATTTAGACTTCTTCTCTTTTTTTCTTTTTTGTTGGGGTGAATGGTTCTGTTGGAATTTATTTGAATTGAAATCTAGTATTAGAGGAATATTTCAAACAATATATCCATGTCCGATTATTTTTGAGTCATCTGTTGTTGTATATGTAGAAAGAAAAAAGATGACGTCAATGTTATCAACAAGATAAAACTTGTACATCATGAAAAGATGTTTGCACCACATATACATCTTTACAAATCAAGGGTTTTTGGTTGGCTTTGTGGGGAGTGAAGCAGACTGAAAACCCTTGGCTTGCGAAGATGTGATCACTATAGTAAATCAAATTTTTCAAAGTTATTACTATAGTGTCATAGTGATCATGATAACAAATCAAAGTTTTCATAGTTATCACTATACTTAATCAAAGTGTCAAAGTTATCACTATGATAGTTAACTATAGTTTTCATAATGTCAAAGTTATCACTATAGTTAACTATAATTTAACTATAGTTGACTATAGTATTTTTTGTAAGGGTTAACAGGTTAAAAATTATAGCAAAACTGACATTTAGCACTGATAGTAAGTCCACTACTTCAAATATGATTGGTGGAAAAGAGGATAAATATATTTTGGGCAGGAGGTTGGTGGAAGGTTAAAAGAGTGGTTGTTATGAAAGTAATAAAAAATAAAGATTGATGAATGCAAGTTTTCCTAATTAGCCATTATTTTTCAAGAATTTATTTTCGGCAAATACTAGTAACGGAATTCAGTGATCATTAAACTGCATGAAGACTGGGCAATTCCATATTTCCTACTTCAAAACAAATATGACATGCATGCTTAGGGTATTAGGTAATGTTACTATGACAGATTAAGGTATTGGCCTCCTTAGAACAGGGTAGATAATAAATATCTGGAAATTTTAAACACTTCCATTCCGTCTCTTTTTCTTTCCACGTCTATTAGACAATTCATATGATCTCGTTCCAATGGCCTTTTCAGCTTGATTACTGTTCGTTATCTTCATATTTCATTTTTTAGCTCACCTGAGCTGAAAGCTCAAGTGAGCTTTTCTGATCACCCGTTGTCCGTCGTCCGTCCGTCTGTCCGTCCATCTGTCTGTCCGTCCGTCTGTAAACTTTTAACATTTTCAACTTCTTCTCAAGAACCACTGGGTCAATTTTAACCAAACTTGGTACAAAGTATCCTTGGGTAAAGGGGAGTTTAATTTGTTAAAATAAAGGGCCAGGTCCCCTTACAAGGGGAGATAATCAAGAAAAGACAAAAGTAGGGTGGGGTCATTAAAAAATCTTCTTCTCAAGAACCACTGGGTCAGAAAAACTGAAACTTATGTGGAAGCATCCTGGGGTAGTGTAGATTCTAAATTGTTCAAATCAGGACCCCTGGGGGTAGGGCAGGGCCACAATAGGGAATCCAAGTTTTACATTGAAATATATAGGAATTTTTTTTTTAAAATCTTCTTCTCAAGAACCACTGGGCCAGAAAAGCTGAAACTTATGTGGAAGCATCCTAGAGTATTGTAGATTCTAAATTGTTCAAATCAGGACCCCTGGGGGTAGGGCAGGGCCACAATAGGGAATCCAAATTTTATATTAAAATATATAGGAAAAATCTTTAAAAATCTTCTTCTCAAGAACCACTGGGCCAGAAAAGCTGAAACTTATGTGGAAGCATCCTAGAGTATTGTAGATTCTAAATTGTTCAAATCAGGACCCCTGGGGGTAGGGCAGGGCCACAATAGGGAATCCAAGTTTTACATTGAAATATATAGGAATTTTTTTTTTAAAATCTTCTTCTCAAGAACCACTGGGCCAGAAAAGCTGAAACTTATGTGGAAGCATCCTAGGGTAGTGTAGATTCTAAATTGTTCAAATCAGGACCCCTGGGGGTAGGGCAGGGCCACAATAGGGAATCCAAATTTTACATTAAAATATGTAGGAAAAATCTTTAAAAATCTTCTTCTCAAGAACCACTGGGCCAGAAAAGCTGAAACTTATGTGGAAGCATCCTAGGGTAGTGTAGATTCTAATTTGTTCAAATCAGGACCCCTGGGGTTAGGGCAGCGCCACAATAGGGAATCCAAATTTTACATTAAAATATATAGGAAAAATCTTTAAAAATCTTCTTCTCAAGAACCACTCTGCTAAAAATGCTGAAACTTATGTGGAAGCATCCTGGGGTAGTGTAGACTTTAAATTGTTCAAATCAGGACCCCTGGGGGGTAGGGCGGGGCCATAATAGGGAATCCAAATTTTACATTAAAATATATAGGAAAAATCTTTAAAAATCTTCTTCTCAAGAACCACTTGGCTAAAAAAGCTGAAACTTATGTGGAAGCATCCTGGGGTAGTGTAGATTTTAAATTGTTCAAATCAGGACCCCTGGGGGGTAGGGCGGGGCCGAAATAGGGAATCCAAATTTTACATTAAAATACATGTATATTAGAAAAAACCTTCTCAAGAACCACTTGTCTAAATAAGCTGAAACTTATGTGGAAGCATCCTGGGGTAGTGTAGATTTTAAATTGTTCAAATCAGGACCCCTGGGGGGTAGGGCGGGGCCACAATAGGGAATCCAAGTTTTACATTGAAATATATAGGAAAAATCTTTAAAAATCTTTTTCTCAAGACTCACTGGACCAGAAAAGCTGAAACTTATGTGGAAGCATCCTGGGGTAGTGTAGATTCTAAATTGTTCAAATCAGGACCCCTGGGGGGTAGGGCGGGGCCACAATAGGTATTATAAGGGGGGGGGGATCTGGTATAGAACAGCATGGCCAAAGTTACTCAGGTGAGCGATGTGGCCCATGGGCCTCTTGTTCATAAATTCTACCGGCGCTGAGCAATTTGACAAGTCAATAAAAATTTCGTTGAAAATGATGTGGATCTCTTTTCAATGTTGAAAAATGATACCCAACCTAAAGAATTTGAATTCTTCCTTAAAATATGATTTTAAACACGTATTCGGGGATTTTTTAAATGATTTATAAACAAACAATAAAGTGAATTTCGATTGCCACTAATTGTGCTTCATTATTAGCTGACGTACTAGTACTTTTTATATTCTAATGAAACATAATTTATTTAAAAAAAAAATCTGTATGAGAAAAATCAGTCTCTTACTGTGGCTTTTAATTCCATGTATCGACGACGTTTTATAAATTTACATGGATTATTTTCATTCATATGTCAACTCAAATATACCCTCTGACTCGAAATAAAGAATTAGTCTATCTGTTCCAAACTTGGGGCATTTTACAGACTGTAGACGTTAATGGGCAACTAATATGACAAACGGGATGACTTCAATTTTCCCTTCGTCATTTTTCCCTATTTATATTTATTTCCCTATTTATTACATATTTCCCACATATGGTATTAATGTTTTTGTCTCCGAACGGATTCGATACGCAGAAGCATGTTTTGATTAATGAGTGCGACCAATTTTTAAGCAGAGGCAGGCTAAGGAACACATTAAGTTAATGTTACAGGATTTTAACTATCTCGTTTTAAGTCGGTATTTCACAAATTCTATGGTCTTTATAATGACATTGATTGCTAATACAATCTCTCGTTGTTCGTATTTTCACCGACATACATCTCACCTGATCATACAGGCTCAGCCCGAGTGTGTCAGGTCAACAGGGGATGCTTACTTATCCTTGGCACATAATCCCCTCTCTGGGGTTTCCAAGATTACGTTTTCCCCCCTGTTCAGCATTCGTATTCTTGACTGAATTTATAATAATGATCCCTGTTCGTTATCTTAACCTTTTACATAATTCACATTTCATATGACAAGTTAGACAAGTTAGAAATTCAAAGAGAGTTTACTAAAATTATACAAGATTATTGTTTCGATAGAACATTTTTTTGTATGCTTTATATTCATTTTGAAATGTATTCAACATAATATTAGAATTTATATTAATCCATCCTGTGTGTAGATTTCAATGAAATGAATCTAATTTTGGAACTGCGATAATAGATTTACAGGAAAAACTCGATACAATAAAAAAAAGTTGCCAGAAATGATAAGGAAGTAAAGTCATTGTTTCTGATTTAAGAAACTGCAGTAAACAGAAAACTTAAGTTACTGCGTTTGAAGATTTGTGCGTGAAATATTTCAGCGATGGCTAAATTTGTGGATGATAATTACTGGGTAAATCGTGCTCATGAAGAGGCTGTGGAGAGTAAGTGTTCTAGAACGGTTTGATGACACTGAAAAGTCAGTGATTTCTGCTGATTTTTAAACTCTAAAAAACAGGGTTGTTCTTTAGTTGTTTTTTTTTTTAATTCTTTACGAATATTGTAACACAATTTGAAAAAATTAAAATGAAACGAAAATTAGCTTTATTCTCCATAAAGAAAATAAAGATTAGTCACAGTTAAAAACCCGTTGAAAACTTTGCATCAACTTCTTTAACTTACGACTAATTAACTTGTATGGTGACATTTGTTTCAAACGCTACAAAAAATAAAGAAAATACACCTGTTTATATGTTTAATGGAAGAGGGAAATGCCTCATAAATAGTTAAAAGATGTTAAAGAATGCAAAGTAACATTAAAGGTACTAAACATACATTTTTTAGATGCGAAATTAAAATATCAGCAAGGAGGGGGACCATGTGTGATGTTTGCTCTTGATACGTCAGGAAGTATGGCAGGAGAAGGGTTTCAACAGATGAAGACGGCTTTTATTGATATCATAGATGGTAAAGCTTCGAAATAAAACATAAAATCACAACATTTCAAATAAATATACACATTCAAATATTGATTTAAAGCTTTAACTTTCCCTTTAAAGAATACGCGAAAGGCCACATGGATGAAACTGTGGCTGTTGTTACTTTTGGAGAGGAAGTCAAGTTTCGTCATTATTATTCCAATAACTACCAATCTCTGAAAAGATGTCTGGGTAATCAATGTTGTTGCCGCTAATCAGTCAATTTTCCATTTTCTCCATGTTAAATATTACTTAACTAAAAATAATGTTTGACGATATAGATGACGTGAACTGTCGGGGCGCTTCCCCCATTCAGGCAGCCATCACACTCTGTCTGTCTGGCTTGGCTTTAGGTGGAGGTAAGCATATGTTTTATTATGCCCCCGTATAGAAGATTCGGGGGTATATAGTTTTTGCCCTGTCCGTTTGTCTGTTTGTCCGCAAAAACTTTAACATTGCTCATAACTTTTGATTGGTTGGAGCTATGGCTTTCACACGTGTATTCCTTGTGACAAGACCTTCCTTTGGGTACCATTATATTTGACCTTGACCTTGGAGTTTGACCCAGTTTTACAAAAAATTACCAACTTTAACCTTGGCCATAACTTTTGAACGGTTGGTGCTAGTGCTTTCATACTTCATATGTATAATCATTGTGACAAGACCTTCCTTTGGATACCAACAACTTTGACCCTTTGACTTAGACCTACGAGTTTGACCTACTTGTGAAAAAGTTTAACATTGGCCATATATTTTGAATGGTTGGTGCTAGGGCTTTCATTCTTCACATATGTAATCCTTGTGATAAGACCTTCCTTTGGATACCATCATTTGACCCTTTGACATTGGCGTTTGACCTACTTTCGAAAAACTTTAACCTTGGCCATAACTTTTGAATAGTTGGTGCTAGGGCTTTCATTTTTTCACATGTGTATTTCTTGTGAGAAGGCCTTTCCTTGGGCACCATTAATTTTTACCATTTGACCTTGATGTTTGGCTTACTTTTGAAAAACTTTAACCTTTTCCATATCTTTTCAATGGTTGCTGCTAGGGCTTTTATATTTCACAGGTATATTCCTCGGTACAAGACCTTACTTTGGGTACCAGCTTATTTGATTTCTAACCTTCGCTATAAGTTGCCATACGGGGGCATCAGTGTTTCACAAACACATCTTGTTTTTTTTTTTATTATTTTATTTTTAGAAAAAGTAGCAGCAAAGTTTCCGAAATGCTCCTTCAATTAATAAACAACTGTTGCGTTGATTACAGGCCCGTAGAACGCAGGGGGCACTTTTTTCCGAGTAAAGTCCTTTGTTGAGTAAATTTTCTTTTGAATGTTGGTTGCCCCCCCCCCTCTTTTTTTAATTGCCTGATGTCAAAAAGTGGGTAATTCAAGCATTTGGAATAAAATGTACCAAAAAGTTAGAGAAAGTTCCATTCCCCACACCCCACCACGCCACGAAATAGGATTTCAAGTTTTTTTTTTCTTTTGAAGTCCCCCCCTCCCTCAATTAAAAACCGTAGCTACTGACTTGTATTGGCCATAAATTGTAATTAGTTATTAATTTTCATCTGGTCAGGATACACAGCAGGGATAGGAATGTTCCAAGTGAGAGCGAGACTTGTATTGATCACTGATGGCAAACCCACAACTTCAAACATGATAGGAGGAGAGGACGACGAAGATTTTATGGACCCAGTAGAGGTCAACGATATCTCAACGTTCTTTAATTAAATAGAAAATCAAAAGTTTTCTAACAATCAAATGAAGTAAAATGCGTCCAAATAATGTCTATGCTTATGAAAAAAGGTAATTGAAAAGCTATCTTGCTGATCCTATATGCATACTTTTACACTGATTACAGACGAGGAAATCTTTAATGAACTTTACTGGAGATATTGGACGAGGCATATCTCTGAACTGTATACCCGTAGGAGAGGATCCCGATTTTGTAAGTCTTTGCAAATGTTAGTTAAGCATGATATTCTTGGAACCTGGATTTTAAAATGCCATTTATAACACAAAATACAAGGTATTTTTTTTCTTATGTTTATTTATTATTTACAAATCTACAAATCAACCTGACCGTTAAAAACTATTAAAGTACTCCTTGTATTTTACGTATGAAAATTTATATATTTTAATGCAAATGACCTATCAATTACAAAATTTATACCGGGGGAATAACTTCTCTCAAAAGTAGAGTAAAAATTGTCTTATAGGTGAACAATAGAGCTAAAATTGATCAAAAGTTTACAGTCGACGAAGAAGGACGACGCACTATGACGGACAAAACAGATAGCAATACCTAAAATTACAATGCACTTCATTACTTGCTTAATCAAGGATGTATGAGTTGATTTGTGTACTATTTATACAGTGTCTACTGGGATCGATTGCGTATTCATCACGTGGAGGTAAACTAATACAACCCCAACAAGCCAGGCAGTATGGGAGGTATCACGTAAACATGGTCAGTGTAGAGGCACTCATACGTTTGTCAAATATAAAACCGCCCCCACCACAACCCCCTACCCGAAAAAAAGTCAAAAGATGAAAAAAAAAATAATCATCCCCCTCCCAACAAAAATTAGAAAGCAGATTATAAAAAGTAAAATATGAAAATATATTTAATGTAGCTTGATTCAGCTTGGTAAATTGTACTTTCAGAAAAAAGCAGCGGAGCTTTTAATGAATATACGAAAGGAGGATTTTTCTCATGAAGATTTACAATTAGCCATGACTTCTACTGGAATGATCAATCAGTTATTGGAGGAAGATATGGTAAAAATCTAATATTTACAATTTTTGTTTTGGAGTGTTGAATTCAAATTTGAAATATTTTGTATTTGTGTTTTGTTAGACTTGTTTAACTCATTTTAGTTTTGGGATAGTTTCTTGTCTTTTGTAATTTTACTGAAAAAAATGGACGAACATTTTTTTTTTACAGGATGACGTTCTAGAAATTATAAATGAAAGAGCGGCATATAAACATCATCCTGGTATAGACGATGACGAAGATGATGATGATGGAAATTGTGAATTTAACCCAGAGATGCTTCCAGTGGGAACAAGGGTTCGGCGGGGACCTGACTGGAGGTGGGGGGATCAGGACTGTCACGGTCCAGGGACTGTTGTTAACCACAACGACAACGGAAAGCGTACGTTTACTTTCAAAAAGGCATTTTCAATGTTAAGCTCTGAATTACGGTTGCAGTGAGACCATTTTCTAAAATTATTTGTTTCAAACGTAGAAATTTTCACATATTTGTGGTTGACAGGAATTTCATTTCAATTTGTATGGGGTTCATGGCCGTAGGAACCGGGGGGCACGGGGGGGGCGTGCCCCCCAATAATTTTGCCGATATATAGATTACCATAGAAAACATAGATACTATATGCTTGTGCCCCCTCAATAAAAACATCTGACGACCTTTTTTTTTTTTTTTTTTTTTTTTTTTTTGCTTGTCAAGAAATTTTTGGTAGACGAGAGTGCCCCCTCAGCTGAAAATGTATGGCTGTGCCCCCCCAAACTGAAATTGCTTCCTACGGGCCTGGGGGTTTATATCTCCCAGTTGATTCAATTCGAAAGAGCACGTTCTACGCGCAAACAATTTTCAAAATGAAGCAGGCTACTGACAAATATTGCAAATGTATTATTTTTGGCAGAAATTGATTTTTAAACAAGTTACCGTAGATTTGATTTAGCGCATTTTTTCATGTTTTTATTTATGTGTATATGTGCAAGGTATTTAGTATTGCACTTGAATTTAGAAGTTTCTTTCCACCAAAGGCACTAAAAGGAATACGCAGCCAAATGTAATACGTTTACAGTAAGTTGATTATACAAGGGTATCAACATATCGTTTAATGTTAATATTTTGCAAATTATATGGTCGATACTATGACCTTGATTGCAAATCTAATCTGTCGTTCGATCGAATGTTGACTTGAGTTTTATTTTCTAGAAAAACAAATTGTTAAACCATTATTTTCATATTGAATTGTGTACGGATTTCTCCGTTTACCAAGTTATGACAAGGATCGACACACGGCGGGTTTGACTGGTCGATGGAGGAATACTTACTCCTCCAAGGCACCTGTGTCAATCTTTGATGTTTTTAGAGGTCCGTTATGCTTTGCTCACAATTCATATCTTCCCATTCATATTAAGCCCAACACCTGGAATAATCTTTGACAGAATTTATAATAGAATGGAATTTTTGTCGCCAATTGAAAGATCGGGGCTCCCTGTATTTAGGACTTCTTAAGATGATTATGTTAACATGCATCTTATTTGTCAACATGCGACTTATTTATGTCAACATGCAATTCATTTATGTCAACATGCGACTTATTGATGTCAACATACGAGTTATATTTTAACATGCAAGATATTTATGTCAACATGCAAAATGATAAGTTGCATGTTAACATAATTATCTTCCATGTTAACATAAATAAGTTGTATGTCTACATAATTATCTTGCATGGCATAAATAAGTCACATGTCTACATAATTATCTCGCATGTTAACATAAATAAGTCGCATGTCAACATAATTCTATTACATCTTGCTTGTATGATGTCCTTTAATGGCGTTAGTATGTTTACCAATATTAAAATCAGATTCTCTAAAGAGATTGGTAACATGCATATCAACATGATTATTTTGCATGTTGACATAAGTCGCATGTCTACATAATTATGTTGCATGTTAACATAATTTATCTTGCATGTAGGGGGCAGAAATATGCCACCATAGTTTATAGATGACCATGACAAGCTATTTTTAATCAGTTTTATTGCAGTTTATTTCGATATCGACCACACTGTCTCCAAATGTCACGGTAGCTCCGTCAGTAGAGCACTCGCTCCGTGATCGGAAGGTCGTGGGTTCAAATCCCGGTAGCAGCTGACCTATGTCAAAAATCAAAGTACTGAAAGTACTCATGGGAGTTGAACATTGTAATGTGAAAGATTTAACAGGAAGTAAAGGAGCTATAATGTCGGAACATTTTTTTATGCTTTAGATACAAACCAACTATTGCAGATTTGCTAGAGATACAACATCAAACATAAGAAATAATTTCAAAAACGTTTGAATAACGAAGATCATGGGCCACAATACTCACCTGAGTAACTTTAATGACTTTAACCGTGTTGTTCTTATTCAGATTTTTGGTAGTAGATAGTGCCCCCTCGACTGAAAATGTATGGCTGTGTCCCCCCAAACTGAAATTGCTTCCTACGGGCCTGATCCCTGGTGCCAACAACCAACTGGCACTTTTTATTTTCAATGTTACCATCACCAAACACTAAATCGTCATTTTTTTCTTCCTCTGATTGGAACAAGCAGTTGATATTATCTTTTGGGTATAACTGGTTCTTTTCGGACACATTAATTACTTTTTATAGAAATTTTATATTTAATTTTTCTATCAAAATGTTTTTATCTTTATAACTCAATCATTATGTATTTTTTTAAATCCCATAATTTTTAATTTCATGTCAAGAAATTTCTATATAGAAGTAAGTATCTCTGAATACTTTGCCTTTTGTTTGTTTGTTTTACATCTCTTCGAGAATTTTTCTCATAAAGAGACACTACCACTTGCCAATGGAGGCTAGGGCTGCAAATTTTTACCTATACAGGACACTCAGAACCATTGAGCAGTGAGGGATTTTTTTTTGGGGGGGGGGTGCCAGCACCTACTGCGAAATGGGATCTCGGTATATACGGTCTCATCCGAAGGGTCCGTTTCTAAATGCATACCGCAGTGGGATTCGAACCCACGACGTAATGTTTAACACCTTACTTTGAATCTCTAGAGCAAACGATTTTGAACAACTGTGCGACGCGAGTGAAATTTACTATTTGTGATTTTGATTTGATACAAATTTCAGTGTAATTGAATTTCAGGTATACTATATACATGTAGCTGAGCTGGACAAGTTTTTCAAACTTTCAATGAATTAAAACGTCTTGAATCTGTTTTGATTTTTTTTTTAAAATCAGATGTAGTTTAACGAGCTGCTGCAAGAAATAAAACTGTTGTAATTATGAGGATCGATCTTTCTCGCATATCGATCACTGGTCTTAATAAGCCATTGTGTCCGCATACGCATGCATTCATTCATTTTAATTGTTTTTATTAATAAAATCAAATGAAACATTTTTTAATAATAACGTACTACTGCAATACACTTTTATATGCAGACATTTGAAATGCATTAATTAATGTAACACACATTTTTCAAGTTCAGTACTAGTGTTGTACACGTGACCCACTGAATGCTGATAAATTCATGAAATTAAGGATTAAAAATTTATGACATCTGAAATTGTCACACATTTACTTCTTTCTTTATAAGTAATTCTTATCTGCAGAGTTATCAAAAACACTCAGTCTTGTCGGCAAGGTCGGTAAGGAATTTTCTGGACCGATAACGTACAAGAAAACAGTGGTCCAAATGACCGTTTAACGAGGTTCGTTCCTGAGCTTTTGGGTAGATTTTTGTATAGACCTCTATCTAAAAAATTCTGCATAATGTTTTAGTTCTTACAATAAATTTGGATTCTGCAATGCTAATTTAACTATATTCAATTAAAACCCCATGATTAAATTCCATACTGAAAGCATTAAGTTAGGAACTATATTTTGTGGCGGAAGGTTTTATAGAAGAAAATGATCAATTTTTCTCATTCGAAATATTTACAGTATTGTTAAGTTTGGATTCCTATTTTTACATGCAGCCTGCACACAAAATCATTTTGAGCAGTGAAATGTTTTATGCTGGTCCTAAATAATATATTAAATTAACCGTCATGAATTCTGTCATCATATTGGACAAATATATTGTGAAAGTCCTGGGAAAAAAAATAGCCCATTTTAAGCTAAAAATTAGCACTATTTTAGTTATATCTAAAAATTAACATCACAGACCCCCACTTTTAATTTTATTTTCTGAATAAGCAAGATAATTTTAACCATTCTGCTTAAACTCAGAAAAATGTCATTACTTTCAAATGATTTTATTGCTTGTTAAATTTGTAATGCCAGAAAAATGACATTTTTTTGAGTGCAAAAAGGTCAAATAATCAACTATGAAGTAATTTGAAACTTTTTTTGTTGTCACAAATTTTAAAGAGACTAATCAAGACGAAAAAGACTGTATTTGTTCCCATAATTTATTTGGATAAAGACTATTAGAGGAAAAACTTTGAAAAATTTATTTAGTGTTAGACGTAATTACAGTGCAAAAAGGTAATATTTAATGCTCCGTAGCACCGAGAGAAGCGTATTGACCCCCATTTTTGGTTTTGATTTTTAATCAAGCTATGTGTCTAGATTCCAAAAATATACTTGATAAAAAATTCTCAATACTTTTGATAACAGGATCCAACCTCCTTAAAACATTGAACGTGATGCAAATTTCTAAAACGCTGTGCCTAGGTAAGGACCACAAAACACCGAAATCGTCCGTATATGGTGACGATTGTCGATCAAAATTGTTAAAGCATGTCTCTGATTAGAGACTCTGTATCATAAGATAGGACTTTTTGTGAGATCGAATATCATAAAACTTAAAAGGCATCTTATTTTAGTGCTACTATTTTTTCCCTGTATCAGCGATTCAGCACATGTATCTGGTCTGACAAAACTTTGTCCAGTCTAACAGATCATTTGACTTTGTCAGACCTAATGTCTGACAGTGATTCAAAAATTTTGACATCTCTGCTCCGAAAATCACTGCACAGTAAATTCATTTACAGTTGTATAGACTTTACATTTGTATCTGTCCTAATATACTTAGAAGCATAGGTGAAATATTTGCAAGATTTTGCCATGGTTTATTTCCTTCATCACATAACTATTAATTGTTTGGAAGTTTGAAAAATAACAATAAAAAAAGTTTCAGCTTGTTATATGATCTAACGTAAACGATTATAATTTGTTGTTTTTCTCACTTAAAATTTACATACGTACATGTAGTTCGAATGTCAGACCTGGCTGTTCCGACTTATTTTATCAAGAATTTCATATGTGAAATGCTTATAAATTTTATGCCACATGAAAACAACTTGAAAACTCAAAAAGCTTAATTTAGTAATTTATCTTAAAGTTTCACCTTTCTGTGTACGTTAATCACCTTCTCTCCGATTTTCTTCCTCTTCGATGTTAAACGTGTAGGATTCAATATTAAACAAACAATTGTTCATTTATATCCAAATCAATGTAATTGTTTATATTCTTTTGATGTTTATTGTATTACCAAATAAATATTGTTGAAAACTTCGAATATTTATGGCTAAAAAAAGGTATTACATTGATTGTGAAATAATTTTTACCACGTGTCAGTCAATGCAAAGAGGTTTCGCGCAGTCATATAGTCACTTGTACAGAGTTGTCGTTAATTTCCCTCTCATTGTTTATAGGTGCCGCTGTATGTGCTGCAAAGGAGGTTCATGACGACAATTTTCAACATTTTTTTAGTTCTGTATAAATCAATTTTAATTTAATCAAAATATAGTATTCAAATTAAGTTAAATGAAATTCAATTGATTTAGTTTCATATCATTTATCAAAATTAGATAAATTCAGAAAAATTGAAATGGACTATTTTATGGCGGACGTTTATGCAAGTTTACATTGAATATCACAGGAGTAAATTGGTCGACACAGAAGCCCCACGGACGGCCACTATATAATCAATATAAATTACTGCGCTTAGAAAGCCCGTGATGACCAAGGGAGGTTGAACATAGTTCAACTCCCAAAAATAGATAGCAACTGTTTCCTTCGCTAAGCGCGCTCGGGACTTCTTCCGGATATGGCCTTAAAATCCGAGACCCCGTGTCAGAACAGGTGTTGACACAATAAATATCCCTCACTGCTCAATGGCCATGAGTGCCCAGTATAGGACTGATATTTGGTGACATTTCTATATGAGTGAAAAATTCGCGAATGGGACGTAAAAGAAACATACATACAAATCAATCAATCACTGTCTCCAATATTTCACATTGACTAGATGTGCTATGTATGATTTTGATGAGCAGGAGTAAAATAACGAAGTTCGGAGTCTTGGTTGATGAGTATTTTTTGGGGAAAAAAAACTTTCATTTATAACAAGAACACTGTAAAAATTGTGTTTAGGAAATAAACACTTCTATTACATGTTTAGATCTAAACGTGTATAGTATTGTGTTTAACAACTAAACACTTATGTCTTAACATGTTTTATATCTAAACGCGTTTAGAAATTAAACACGTTTTACTGTAAAGTGCAGAGTTATCCTCCCGGAAATGACACACATACATTTGAACGTTAATTTGAGCGGCTATGTAAACAAAGAAAACGCAACAAGCTAAGGTGATGTATCAATGAGAGTTATGACAACCCAATTCAAGGAATAACCATGACGAAATAGTGAAATACGTGAAAGGGCATCTTGTTGCTGCAGTACATTAAAGGTTTGTTTTCTTCGTCTTTGCATTAATTAACCACGATGAGCAACGTAAATGAAGTTGACTTGGGATATCTTGAATTCGTTCATAGACTTGCAGGAGAAGATATATTAAATGTCATTAAAAACATCTATATTTATATCTGTGTAGTTTCACTAAAATTTGAACAATTTTGTTTTTCTAAGTATAAATGTAAAATATCAGTGATAGTGTACTTTTTCTAAAATCTGGCTTTCTTTCCTAAAGGCACCGTACGTAGTCCAGATCGAACTCAAAATACACGTATCAGAGTACCTGGTGTCATCTTCAGTTGCAATGTTGTTGTTCCATAATCAACACTTTGAAACTTCATTTGTTGAAGACTACTGTGTTAATTCGACAGTGTTTACAATTATCCTCGTGCATTCGGAATGGGTTACTTTCTGGCAGTTATTGATGGGATATAGATTATAATATGTGGTGCTTTGGGACTTGCTGAAAGTTCATAAAATTTGATATTTTGTGATTGACATGAGGAAAACTCTGCAGCCGATTCAAAATATAATGATTATAATAAATATATATATAAATATACATTTTGTATTTTTAGTTTAACAATTCTTTAATAAAGCCTTTTAGAAATGTTCAATGAAGTTTTGATATTAAATTGTCAGCTTAATATTATTTTCTTAATAATTCTGAAGATTAAAAGTTTGTTATCTATGTGTACGTTATAAATTAGGCTTGTGTCATTCTGATTGAATTGTTGAGACTAATCAAATCTATTCAGTTCTACCTCCTACATTATTTGTGTAAATTAAGTACATGTACATCGCACAGTGATCATTACATTGTATAATTAAATACACATCCTAACGTTCAGTGGCTTTTTGGAAAATAATTAATATTGGTTACATATTTTGAAAATTTTGACAATTATGCGCATTTAAAAAACATATACTTTGTGTGCCTAAATTTACGAGAGTGTTTTGTTTTTCTGCAGGTACAAATTAAACTTATGATGTGTTTAGATTTTAAACACATCTGCTGTTATGTGTTTAGAATTTAAACTCTTGTGTTTATGTGTTTAGATATGTTTAATTTCTAAGCACACAAGTGTTTAAATTCTAAACACTTTCTAATACATGTTTAGGAATTTTACATGTTTAGAAATTAAACAAATAAAAAAGGAGGTGACAAGAAAGTGTTTAGAAAAGTGTTTGAATTGTAAACACATTTTTTACAGTGAAGGGAAACATAATAGCATTGAAAAATGAATATTGTTGAGGGTTCTTTCAAATTTAAAATAAAATGTTAAATCCTTTTTTTAACAAAGCATTGGGGTCTTTAATTCCGATAGATCGAGAACCCTATATTTACATAGTTTTCAAATGCTTAATTTACAAAATGATAAGTTATTCCCTACTTGTGATTTTATCTTTTAAGGTGGTTGGTCACGCGTGGTATGGGACGCAGGGTCGAGTTTTCCATATCGATACGGTAGTAATGGTCTTTTTGAAAACTTTGACTTGGTGGAATGTGATGAACCTAGAATTCTACACAACGACCTCATAGCTATAGGATGTCTTGTTGAAAGAGGTAGAAAAAAAATGCAATTCTCTCTTCTAGTGATTCTGCCAAGTTCTTTTTGGTCTCAGATTAGATATTTTATTATAAACCAGCCTTTTATCATTATAATATTATCATTATATTAAACATAGTTATTTTCATTGGTATGATTTTGTTAATCATTGTATATAATTAGTGACAATTGATCGTTCATAATTTAAGGTCCTGACTGGAGATGGGAAGATCAAGATGGCGGAAAAGGAAATATTGGCGTCGTGTATAAAGTGAAACGCAACGCCATTGTTTACGTAATTTATGTCACAAATTAATTTATTCAGCAATAAATAAAATATAAACCGAATACATAAATATATATGCTTTACATTATAAAACTTGATACTTTAATTGGCTATCAATTTTGATTTCATTTTTCAATGTTCTAGGTTAGGTGGCCAAATTCAAATAAAAGCAATTACAGATTTGGTTTTGATGGGAAATTTGATGTCCAACTGTGGTATGTGCTTGTTCATAAAAGTCATAAAGGAAACTTTCTCATTTTTTTAGTTTTTTTTACGACGATATCATTTCGTTTTTATTAGCTCACCTGAGCTTTTCTGATCACATTTTGACTGGAGTCCGTCTGCCTTAAAAATCTTCTCAAGAACAACTGGCAAGAAAAGATGAAACTTCTTTTAAGCTTCCTGACATAGTGTAAATTCAAATTTGTCAAATCATGACCACAGGGGAAGGGTAGAGCTACAATTCGTGATCAGAGTTTTACATAGGAATATATAGTAAAAATCTTTGCAAAAAACTTTTCAAGAACAGCAAAGCCATGATTGGTCATAGTAATATTGAAGGATCTGCAGATAGTGTATGTTCAAATTTGTTTAAATTATGATCCCAAGGATAGGGTTGGGCCACATTCGACAATTAAAATTTTCATTTGAAATATTAAGAACATGTAATTTTAAAAAAAAAATCTTTGCCGCAAGAACAGCAATGTCATGATTAATCATATTAATATAGAAGCATCTTGAGGTAGTGTTGAATCAGGTATGTTCAGATCATGGGGTAGGGTGGGACCACATTTGGAGATTCAAGTTTTAAGTAGGAATATATAGAATTTTTATTAAAATTTCTTCTTCTTAAGAACAGCAAAGCAAGGATTAATCATATGAATATAGAAGCATTGTAGATTCAAGTTTATTCAAATCCTAACCCTTAGCAGTAAGTTGAATTTACGATATGATTATGAAGTTTTACATAGAAGTATATCGGAAAATTTTTTAAAAATCTTTTAAAGAATAGCAAATCTATGATTAGCCATATTAAAATGCAAACATCCTCGGATTAAAGTCAGTATTTTTTCGTTATAATGACTTGTTAGAAAAAACTACTTAACATTGGGTTGTGTTTGACTGACATATTCCATACCAATTGTTAGGTCTCTGTTTTTATAATAAAATTGATTACAGATTATTCCGTCTACCTGATCAATACATAGAGCTCACAGCGGGTGATGCTAAGTCATCCAAGGCACCTTATCCCACCTCTGGAAATTCCAGGTCCTAGTTTTATGCTCTGTTCACATATTTGCATAATTTGTAGGGGTTTTTTGAGATTGGTCGCTGTTCGTTATCTGAACTTTTTGCATAGTTTAGGTTCAAGTTTGTTTAGATCAGGGCCCCAGGTAATAGGTTGAATCTAGAATAGGGGATTAGAGTTTTACAAGGAAGTATGTATAAAAAAAATCTTTTCAAGAGTTGCAAGGCCACACTAAATCATAATGATAAGCAAATATGCCTTATTTTATGTTTTTTATTTAAGTAACCGAAGGTTAAAGTTGGGATGAAATTAGAAATCCAAATTCTAATACATGCCTATGTACAGGGGAAAATCCAGCAGGGATTAGGGGTTAGTCATATTGATGCATCCCATTTTATGTGGATTCAACTCTGAATAAATCAGCCTCTTAGGGCAGATTTTGGTCACAATATAGAGTAAATTTTTAAATGAAATTTAAGGGGACATTTTAATAGAAGAAAAGTAGGACCATTACTGACTCAGGTGAGCGTCGTGGCCTATAGGCCTCTTGTTTTTAAGTGACCCATATCACCCAGATGTAGTCAAGAGATTGCAACAACAAAAATCAGCAGCTGCTGAAATGCTGTCATCTAAAACAGACAGAGAAATCAACAATTTAAAATGTAATTTTTATTGCTTTGTGAACGTTTGATTTGGAAAATCTACAAAAGGTTGCCCGCGATGCATCAAATATCTTATCTGAGATACGTTTTATTTATTTTCCTTGTGGTTCTAATCTCAGATAAAGACAATGTTATAAAAATCATGAAATGTTTCCTTGCAAGCAGCTGCAGGGAAATCCAGGGAGGACGAATGCAACATTCCTTCTGCGAAAAGTCCCTTTGTGAACGGACCCATTTCATCTCCTACTGGTCGTCCCAGTGCAGCTTCAAAATATGCTGATCCTGACATTTCTCGCTTGAATGGAAGCTCTGGATCTATTAATGACGATGAAGTTGAGGATAATTCTACAGATATCTGGCAATTCAAAGGCGAGGATGGCCAATGGAAAAACTTCCCCAAAGACATGAGTCAAAAGATCGATTCAAATTACAGGAAGAATAAAAAAAACACGGTACTGATTAACATCCGGGACTCCTGGTAAGAAAAACTCTGATTTTTATTGCCATTTACCTGGTTTTATAATTTTTAATCCCCCCCCCTAACTTCATAGAAGTTTAGTCTTCCAGTGAAATAGACGCAGTTGTACATATACATATTGTATCTGAGTTGTTATTGTCGTTGTCAAAGTTCAACTTCAATGTACAGTTGTATTTTTTTCCTTTTTATGCCCTCGTAATCGAAGATTCGGGGGTATATAGTTTTTGTTCTGTCCGTCCGTCTGTCTGTTTATCTGTTTGTCTGTTTGTTCGCAAAAACTTTAACATTGCCCATAACTTTTGTTTGGTTAGAATTTTACTTTCATATTTCACACGTGTATTTCTTGTGACAAGACCTTTCCTTGGGAAATATCATATTTGACTTTTTGACCTTGAAGTTTGACCCAGTTTATTCAAAACTTAAACCAACTTTAACCTTGGCCATAACTTTTTAACGGTTGGTGCTAGGGCTTTCATACTTCACATGTATGTATGTAATCCATGTGACAAGACCTTCCTTTGGATACCAACAACTTTGACCCTTTGACCTTGACCTTGGAGTTTGACCTTCTTTTGAAAAACTTTAACGTTAGCCATAAGTTTTGAACGGTTGGTGCAAGGGCTTTCATACTTCACATATGTAATCCTTGTGACAAGACGTTTCTCTAGATACCAACAATTGTTATCCATTGACCCTGACAGTTGAGTTTGACCTACTTTTGAAAAACTTTCACATTGGCCATAACTTTTGAACGATTTGTGCTACGGCTTTCATATTTCAGATGTGTATTTCTTGTGAGAAGGCTTTTCCTTGGGCACCATTACTGGTAATTTTGACCCTTTGACTTTGACCTTGATGTTTGACTTACTTTTGAAAAACTTTAACCTTTTCCATATCTATTCAATGGTTGCTGCTAGGGCTTTCATATTTCACAGGTATATTTCTCCAGACAAGACCTTTCTTTGGGTAGCAACATATTTGATTTGCATTTGAGAAAGTTTAATCTTTAACGTCTTGTTGTTTATCTTTTAGGTATAGGATCGTATTATCAAAGATGAAGAGGATTGATATTAAAACACGACACATCACTGATATCAGATATCTCGATGACAGGAGTGACAAGATTAGTTGTTGATCGTAGTTTACAGTTTCACTTAAACGATATTAGGGTATTCTTGATTGCAGTACCCATTTAAAAATTCTTTCTGAAGTTTTCTTGGCATTTTCAGGGATTCAGACGAACTTTAAACCTTGATTTTACAGTAATGATTCTTTATTCTATTATTTAATGATCTTCTGCAATATATGTGTGTATTTTATATGTATAAAGAAGATGGGCGAACAAGGCGTGCAAAATGCCCATAGCTTTAAATGTATAAAAGTCATATTCATTTTATGAATTTAGTATTTAGAGTAAAGATCTTATCATTGAAAGGTATGAAATTTTGACAATCAAAACTTTTCTGTAGAAAAATCTTTCGGCAAAAATCATTCTATGATTAAAAAAATGGGATGTTCTTGGGGTTCCAACCCAAAATATAAAAATCCTTGGGTATCAATTTTTCCTTCGATACTAACACGCTAACCACCATGCTATACTGTTCATAACAAATAATGTTTGCGATATGACGCGTGATTAATTTCTCAGAAAGATAGGAATGTCGTGCTACGAAAGTAAATTTTAAGATATAGTGGGTCGTTGCTCCATGTTTTTGTTATACCGAAGAATGTACTTTGAATATAATCTTTAAAAAAAAAAGATCCACTCAAGTGGAAAATTGTGTTATAGTGTGAAGAATTGCTCATTTCTGCTCTCTTCGGTGTATATATGCTATTTCATAGTCGAATAATTTCAAGCTTTGTGAGATTTTACCAATTTGTGGAGATTTTACGTAAAGTATATGTTAATTTTAAATGAAATATGAAGGAAAATGTTGTCATAATTGAGATTTATAGTTTTTCATTTTTCATTTATGTCGCACAATAGACATTTTGCTCGCCTTATTTGCCTATCTTCTTTATGATGTAAATAGCATAATATAATTTTTTTTAAAAATTGGATTAATTGCCAATAAAATATTTTCTTTGGTCTGTAAACACAGGGACAAATTTCTTTGTTTTTTAACAAGGCCATCAGATGGGGAGGTGTGTATACCCCTTTCTAGAGGTGTGAATTGCCCTTTCTAGAAAACATAATATATGCATTATAATTTATTCATTCATCTGTTTAAAGTAATTTCGCCAGATTTTTATTTATTAAGTAAGAAAAAATGACTTCCGAAATGCAGCAGAACCCAGAAAAATCGTTCCTTTTTTGTAAAACAAAAATCTGGCGTAGAGGAAGGGGTATTCCTCGAAGCCCTTTGTACCCCCTTTTTCAGAAACCTGACGACGGGCGACAATCTTGTTTAAATAAACGCCAGACTGAAAGAGGAACACAGACTCTTTATGTTCCCTTAAACAGAAAGGAAACAGACAAAATAAACCTTCTTGAGATTCTTTATTAAGATTAAAAAGATTTTAAACAAAATCCTATTGAGTTTTGGATCGTTTTGGATATTATTTGGATGGCACTTTTGTACGATAATCACTAGGGCTTTATCAATATATCGATTAATCGATACGTGTCGATATTTAAGAATGTATCGTATCGAAAAAATAACTTCCAATACCTACCGGACAGGCAGATTTTCTTATAATTCTGGGAAAAAAGTTGTAAATTTCAATCACCAAAAGGTTATATTTTTCACTGTTTTGAATTAAAATTGATTAATAATGAAATAATCATTGTGATGTGGTTAGGACTGATAAACTCTAAAAGCTTTAAACTCAATGGTACGAATATCATCCTCTCATTTTAGGGGACATTATTGTAGCTATCAGTATATGTCCAGTAAATTATTTGTCACTCAAAACGAAAACATTTTTCGTTCAATATTCCTCTCAATAAAATGATGCTCACATTAGAAATTGACATCAGTTTTGCTTGAAAATGAAAATAAAAATAACTAAAAATTTAGCGATTTTTAAAAAAAATATTCTGTAGATGTCAGTTTCCTTCCTGTAATATTTTTCATGCCTGTTGAATTATACTTCGTTATGTTAAAACTTCCTGCTATGCCATCTTTTGTGTATAGTGCTCTTAGAACTAACAGCAGAAATGATGCAGGTTTGTGATTTTATTTTTATATTATGATGAATATTTCTTCTAGCTTTAGTTTATCCCTGATATTTATTTTTGAAAAATCATGTTAAAATGTGTTTGTTTAAAAAAAAAATTTTTCAGGACATGGAAACTGCTATGTATGAAAACATGTGGCTTTCACAAGCCAAGTTAGAAGCTGGGAAACGTAAGTCGTTTATTTATTTTGTTTTCCTACTATAAACGGTATCTTTGTAAATCAACTATACGTTGGATATGTTATTACATGTAACAATTTCAGATGCCTTTTCATGCACGGAAGTATCCGTCATTTTGTTTTGTTATTGTAGAGAGATCTTGTAGATTTCAGAGGGGAAGGGGAAGCTGTGTTCTCTTCATACTAGACTGTTCAGAGAGTATGAGAGGGGAACCTCTGAGAGAGATGAAGAGGGGAGTTTCGGCGATCCTAGATGGTGTGTTATTCAATGCTGGATATAAGTTCATTGTGTCCAAGTAAAATATAATCCGTAATAATACTGGTATTTTGATTCCATTTATAGAGTTTCAACAGCACCCGGATATGGATGAAAATGTCTCTGTAATAGTGGTGGGACAAGAAACACGATTTCTGCAATACTACTCAAACCAATATTCAGCAATCAAACAAAACATAGGTAATAACATTTTCATTTCAGTTACTCGTGTTTCCCACAATTACTTGTATACATACATACATATATATATATATATTAGGGATGTCAACGAGTACCCGGTTAACCGGGTACTCGATCGAACGTCCGAGTATCGAATACTAAAAATGGTACTCGGTTACTCGGATGTGTATTTTTCTTATTTCAAAGTACACATTTTTATCAAAAACTTATCAAAAAAAAATTTAAATATGCATACGGTAATTAGCGTGTCGTCATCTACACCTGTAAAACACCCGTTATCGCCTGTGTTAGTGTATATACAGTAATTAGTGACCAGTCACCTTGTACACAGCTGTTCTCACCTATTGTGGTCCTTAATTTTTGGATGGCTTCAATGATTGTTTTCAGTGAACATCGTTTAAGTATGAATTGGTCTGTTATCTTCAAATCATTTTTAATGTTAATATATGGCAGCGAAATCGGACATGCATAGAAATGCTGCTACCCACTTCAAAAGTTGAGAAATATTTAGAAATAATTAAAGATTAAAAAAAAATGTTGAAAGTCAGTTTGCATAGTAAGTTTAGTGTACACGGGGGAAACAACCAACATATGAAATAATCCCAACAACGTCCGTACCTTCTCTTTCCGTTGCTAGTCTAATCATCACAAACCTGCGTAACAGATTGTCTTCCTTTTGCGTTGATGAAATAGATCCTAAACAATATTTTGATTTTTGATGTATGAATTGTGTCTTCTGTGTTTATTTGATAAATAAATTTAGTACCAAAAAATCATTCCCGTTGGACTCGATGTTTATATACATTTATAATCGTGATTAAAACGTCTTTGGAGTTTAACACAGCTTAACGGGGCTCAAGAAAATCATAGGCGTCGAAAGCAAATTGAAGGGGGGGGGGGGGCTAATTGAAAGAGAAAAAAATTTAAACCTGAAAAAACACTTAACAAGCAAAAGAAAAAAAAAGGAAAAGGAAATTTGAAAATCGTCCGTCCAAATCAGAAAATCCTATTTCGTTGAAGGGGGGGGGGGGGTGCGATCGAACTTCTTTCTATACCATTTTTTTTTTTCAAACGCTACCACTTACCTTCCTTAGATTAGACTGCAATGTGCCTATATAGCCCTTGAAAGTGGGGGGGGGGGCTAAACCTAAGCCCCAATGTTCAATGCCTATATTATGTCTACCTTTGCAAAAAAAGTGGGAGGGGGACTAAGCCCCCCCCCCCCCGTTACCGACGCCTATGAAAATTAACACACTTGTGTTTATATTTTTACCGAGTACCCGGTTACTCGATCGGAAAAACGTCCGAGTAACCGATTATCAAAAGTTGACCGATTTGACATCCCTAATATATATATATATATATATATATATATATATATATATATATATATATATATATATATATATATATATATATATATCAGAAAGGAAAACATATATGGTTCAGGAGAACAGATTTGTAAGAGTTACTGGACTTTTTTATATGAGATTGTGCAATTTATATATAGCTCATTATGTTTTAAGTCTTGTAAAAGTTGAACATGATTCGTAAAACGAATTTGTTCGCCATATTCTTTTATTCAGTCGTTATATCTGAGGGCCCCAATAAAAGCTGTTCACTTAGTCACTGTTCAGTGTAATTAGTTGTCACCTGTGTAGACGGACGTATGCTACATAGTTATTGTAAAACAATCGGTAGCGACAAAAATAACTGTTCTTCAACGGCAGGAGAGAAAGAAAACTTAAAACTGTTGCACAGGTCATTGCAGTTTACAAACACAAATACACGTCAACTGCTATAAAATGTAAACAACGGTAATGTAAGGTAACTAGCAGGAACATGTATCGTCCATTCCACACCGGTACCTGTGACAATAAAGCAGTCAGGTGTAACGAATAAGAAGGGTATGTAGCAACCGCTATTAAATGATAAAACGCCGCTTAATGATAGAAATATCATTAAGCGTTGCAATTGCAACGCTTATTGCCATAAATCATTGCATTAATAGTTGACATTCTCAACCGCTAATGCTAAATCGCCGCTTAATGAGAGAATTATATCATTAAGCGGTTGACATATTTATATCATTAAGTGGTTGAGAATATCAACTGTTAATACAATAATTTATGACCTTAAGCGTTGCACTGCAATGCTTAAGGACATACGCAACGTAGTTTGAACTTTATTGTCTTTTTCCCTGGAGTTGAAGAGTTCCCATACTTAAAGGAATCGAGTGCTACATTTAATGTCTATATATGCTATTGTACACTTCTTCTAGAATAAGTCTGGATAAACAAAACATCTAGAATATATGTTTAGTAATTTTTGTATATTTTTCTTTGAATTATACAAGAATTTTCATCAATTGATATCTTTTCAAAACCCCTGGTAATGCCTGCTGATTTTTTGTCTACGAACATCTGATGGCACTATAATCTTAAATTAAGAATATCTTGAAAAATTATCAGTATGTAAGGTACGTTGCGTATGTCCTTAATGATATTTCTATCATTATAAGCGGCGTTTTATCGAAAATAGTGAATCTAATATGGCGTATACCTATGTACGAGTCGTGTTCAGCTTGAAACTTCAAACATTACTAAAGACTTAATGATCTGAAAAGTTGTACCATTTTGTTCATCATTGAGTAAAAGATAGTAAGTTTTAATTGCTAGACAAGTATACAAAATCATTTCACTCAGTTTTGGTCAATGTCATTCTGGTGATTGAAATATTTCAGAGGAGATGAAATGTGGTGGACCCTCACCACTTACAGCTGCCTTTCTGTTGGCTCTGGGGGGATTGTTTGAAGGAGCAGGTAAGGAGAGGCTTCAGCTTTTATATTACTTAAGATAGTTTTAATATCTGATATTTGTCAGAAATATAAATGCAAATTGTTTTTATTTTAACTGCAATTTTGACCAGAATGAAATAACACGTTTTTACCTTAGAAAAAATCAAATATATACAAATTTTTTATTGCGTTTTTCATATTTATCCCATAAAGCCTACACAAGAAAAATTGGTGACTTCCTACTCCATCCAAGAGTGGTACTGTTCACAGATGGTCGACTTACAGACTTCAGAGATTCATACGCTACTGACACTGAGGGGGATCTAATACCTAATGATCATGTAATCATATGTCAGAAATACTGCAAGGCTTTAAGTAATAATCAAGAAAATAGAACGTGTAATAGTGAAATAAATTTCAGAATGAAAAGTCATTTTGTTTCTATTTGTATAGATATTAGCACCACTTTTTTCGGTTATACATCAAATAGGAAGAGATCATCCGATTTTCTGTTTCCCAGTTGGAGAAAACCCGAATTACGTAAGCCATTTAATGCATAGCATGATAACTCTACACTTTGATTCATGCTATAACAATTATATGACAAATATTATTTCAAATGAAAAGCATATTGGAATATTAATTAAAAAAATATAATTCTTCAAATGATAGTTTTACAGTTCAATTAAATTGTACAAGCTCTGAAAGAACAAAGAATTAAAAATATTATTTTTCTGATTTGTTCATGTATATAATTACAATTTTATTTATTTCAGCCGTTACTACAAACCATATCAGGAGTTTCTAAGGGAGGAAAGGTTTTAGGGGTTTATGAAGCAGAGTGCTTTGGACGATATACCCTCCATTACGTAATTAATGTTACATCCACTGTCATCTTTATTATTCTGTTCTTTAAACCATAATCATCCACCTGTCAACTCTTACAATATTTTATAGCATTCAGCAGATTTGATAACCAAAGCAACAAATAAGACAGACATAGAAAGAGAACATTTGAGATCTGTGGCTGAATCCATACTTTTATGGCAAACGTATGATGAAGACGATTTGGTATGTTTAGCAAATCATAGCGTTTAATCTTAATAATGATTAATTCAAATAAGTCGATAGTGTGACGTTTTATCAAAAGTATTACATTTTGCAATAGTAAAAGTAGATCAGATGTCACTCTGTCCAGACCGACTGATTAGCCTTAACTTACCATAAGCTTCCTGTGGAAACTATATTATCTATCTTGGCCACTGCTTTAGTTCCTATATCCCAATGATAACAGAATGAAAACAACAATCCTGCAATTGCATCTGATTGATTTATTGTTTGTTGTCACGAAAAATTTTCACTCATATGGAGACGCTACCACTAACCCGTGGAGGGCTGCAAATTTATACCTATACTCGGCAGTCAAGGCCATTGACCATTGTGGGATATTTTTTTTGTGCCAGCCAACACCTACTGCAAGACGGGACCTAAGTTTATACGGTCTCATCCGAAGGGTCAGTCTCCAGGTCCCGCAGTGGTTTCGAACCGCGGCGTAATGATCAGCGCCCTACTCCGCGAATCTAGAGCAGACGCTCTTACCACTTGCCACGCGGGCGACCAATTGCATCTGAAATTGGATCCGCCACAAAATCTGGTATCAATCGCCATGACCGTAACCAATCATCTCTCTTTTCAAAGAATTCATAGATATCAAGCTAGTTTATTGTGCAAAGAGTTACGGAAGTTTATATATATATATATATATATATATATATATATATATATATATATATATATATATATATATATATATATATATATATATATACCGGTATATATTACCGGCCTCAAAATCCTTACTTTTAAAATATTTTAACTGCATCGACCGAATATTCAATTTGCTTTAAGGCATCTAACACAGAGTTGTCAAGGGAAAAGGGAGAGATATTAGTATTCCGGTGATTTTTTTTTAAAGTCCGTTCATAACGTTTTGAAGTCTCTTGAGGACATCACACAGGCAACATACGGAGAGAGAGAGAGAAAGAAAGTATCACATACCAATAAGTAAGCTTTAAGGAGATAATGCGATTGAATCTTATTATCATAGGACACCATATACGAGTTGATACGGAACAAAGAAAGAATTATGGAGACCCAAGAAAGAGTTGAAGACGATGATGAAAAATTGCATAAGGAAAAATACTCTACAATTCCTAGGCTTGGTACAAGAGTTCGCCGTGGTCCTCATTGGACATTTCAGAACCAGGATAGCGAGGGTATTGGAACCATAGTAGGTCATGGGGATAAAGGTACGTTAGAGTATTACAAACAAAGATACATAGCGGGTTCCAGTAAATGTTCAACCAAGCCTCTTTCTTTACTCCTCACTAAGATATTAACAGTGGTGAAGGAGAAACTTCAAGAGTACTGTGCAACAATATATTCAAGAAGTGGTGTAAATCAGACGTGGATACTTAAAAATTCCAAGGAACTTTTGGAAAATTGAAATCGCAAGATTTTACCAAAATCAACAGCCTAAAAACTTATGACATTTCTACTTTATACACAACCATTCCCCACGATAAATTCAAGTCCAGGCTTTTTGATATAATTGACAGCTGCTTTTTTAATAAAAATGGAACTCGTAAATATACTTACCTTGTCATTGGTCATTTGCAAAATTATTTTGTTAAAAAACATTCTGATTGTACACACAAGTACTCTGAAGTTGACATTAAAAAGATGCTTGAGTTTCTGATTGACAATATCTATGTGGATTTTGGGGACCAGGTCTTCCAACAATCTATTGGAATTCCCATGGGTACCAATTGCGCCCCGTTATTAGCAGACCTTTTTTTGTATTCATATGAAGCAGAATTTGTCCAAAATCTTGTACGTGAAAAGAAGAAAACACTTGCTGTGACCTTCAACTCGACATTTAGATCTATCGACGATGTATTGTCAATTAACAATGGCTATTTTCATTCTTATGTCGATACGATATATCCTGGTGAGCTTGAGATAAAAGATACCACAGAGTCCGACACATCTGTTTCATATTTGGATATTTTACTTGAAAAAGACGTTAATGGTAATCTAACAACCAAGCTTTATGATAAACGTGATGACTTTAACTTTTCAATCGTCAACTTCCCTTACTTATGCAGCAATATACCTTCATCACCTGCATACGGGGTATATATCTCTCAGTTGATTCGATACGCAAGGGCATGCTCTACGTATGAACAATTTCTTAAACGAGGTAAATTATTGACAAACAAGTTGATGAAACAAGAATATCAGCAGTCTCGTTTAAAGTCATCATTTCGTAAGTTCTATGGTCGATACAATGACCTTGTCAGCAAATACAATTTATCATTGAGTCAAATGCTGACTGACGTTTTTCATACTAATTGTTAGGCCATTATTTACACACTGAATTGTCGACGGATTTTTCCGTTATTTCCCGATCATGACAAGGAGCACACGGCGGGTGTGACCGGTCGGCAGGGGATGCTCACTCCTCCATGGCACCTGATCCCACCTCTGATGTTTAGAGGTCCGTGTTTGCTCTGCTCCTATTTTGTATTGTTTAATGGACTTTTGAGCTTGAATACTGTTCGTTATCTCCATATATTTCATGCTCTTTAATTTAATTTGCTTTATCAACTCTTTCTCACTCCTCTCAAGGGATCTAATTTACTGTCTCTTCAGTCGCCCGCGTGACGCAGTGGTTAGAGCGTTCGCTCTAGAGTCGCGAAGTAAGGAGTTGATCCTTACGTCGCGGGTTCGAATCCCACTGTGGGATGTGGAGACCGGTCCTTCGGATGAGACCGTATAAACCGAGATCCCTTGTCGCAGTAGGTGCTGACACGAAAAAGATCCCTAACTGCTCAATGGCCCAAAGTGCCGAGTATAGGTCAAAATTTGTAGCTCTTCACTGGCAAGTGGTGGCGTCTCCATATGACTGAAAAATTCTCGAGAGGGACGTTAAACAATAAACAAACAAACAAACTATCTCTTCATGAAATGTTTTTGAAGATTCACCAATTTGGACATTAACCATGTAAGGAATGATCCTTTTCTGATACAATGGATAAAATCATGTCTTTGGTTTTAAATTTATGGTTAACAGCTGGGCTAGTACTCGTAGAGTGGGATAATGGACATCGCAGTTTGTACAACTACGGAATAAGAAACCTGTACGATATTGTGGTTTGTGATGAACCCAGGATTCCTCTTGACGGATTTGTCGCTGTTGGGTGTTTTGTTAAGAGAGGTATTTTAGATGCATGCACCTTATATGTTTAAAACAGTTTCTGCCATATATATATAAACCTTTGTGTAAGAACACATTCCAATACATATCAATAAGCGCACACGTTTCATTTACAAATCCTTGTAACAATAAACATTTTTATTTTCTTATAAGGTCCTGACTGGAATTGGGGAGATCAGGACGGTGGAGCGGAGGCTATTGGGACATGTTACCGAGTGATGGATAATGCCACTGTTTATGTAAGTTCATAGGGACATGTTATCGAGTGATGGATATTTGCTACTGTTTAAGTAAGTTCATAGGGACATGTTATCGAGTGATGGATTATGCTACAGTTTATGTAAGTTCATAGGGACATGTTATCGAGTGATGGATCATTTTATTTCAAACTTATTACGAGTTAAAAACTGCGAAAATTGGTTCGCTGAGCAAGTCAAAATTTAGTAATACAAACACACTAATTAATGCCTGTAGTCAGTGCCTCTGTAAAATAGCTCAAAACCAAAAAAATCTAGGCGATCAAATAATTGTTACATCGTTTCATATTCCAAATTTTGAATTAATAGTTAATTTGCTTCATGGAAAAAAACTAATTTCTGAGAAGATAAGTAGTCCTCAATGAAAAAGGCAAAAAGAAGGTGAAGTCGTAGAACGTCACGGAGCAGCAGTTTACGATACAATTTTCTGTTGTACTCTGTTGTACTCTGGAAAACGTCAGAATGAAATCTAAAAATGTTGCAGGAAGCACGAAATATCTCAAAAGCGAGTCATGCATGTGTGTGCAAATGGCCCAGGTGGTATTTGAATGATATTGACTTTGTATCAGACGAGGACGATCTGTGATGAAACGAATTATCTGTAAAAATCTAACCAAAAACGTTCAGTTAGTAAAGTCTTGGAAAGAGAAAGGCTCTTCACGGTTGATGATCTTGTGAATGTATAGTTAAGCGGTAAAAAACGAAAACATTGAGAAACAAAATTATGCTACTAGAATAATTGTTAACAAAATGAATTTCAATTGATAGAGACACGTCTTTAATGAGCAGATATTGGACCAGACTGTGAAATGTATAGGGAGAATATTTTGAGAACCTCATGACACTATATTTTTGACGTTAAAATGCTGTTAAGTGTGCTCCGGAGCTATCAAACTATGAAACATGTTGATTTTAATATGAAGTAAATTGATTTCTATTTAATCGAATGGAAGGAAACTTCACACATCAACAAAATAAATATATTCACATATAATAATGTGTTTATTTCAAATCTCTTGAAAGTAGTATAACGAAGATAGACATTACCTTTGAACTTTTCGAACATTTATGTACGTTCTTGATTAACATTTGTTTATTGGGACATGTTATCGAGTGATGGATAATGCTACTGTTTATGTAAGTTCATAGGGATATGTTATCGAGTGATGGATAATGCTACTCTTTATGTAAGTTCATAGGGACATGTTATCGAGTGATGGATAATGCTACTCTTTATGTAAGTTCATAGGGACATGTTATCGAGTGATGGATTATGCTACTGTTTATGTAAGTTCATAGGGGCATGTTATCGACTGATGGATAATGCCATATTTATGTAAGTTCATAAGGACAATGTCATGTTATCGAGTGATGCATTATGCTACAGTTTATGTACGTTCTTCATTAAAATTTGTTTATTTGATACATATTATCGAGTGATGAATAATGCCACTGTTTATGGAAGTTCATGATTTACATTTCTTTATTATGACGTGTTATCGAGTGATGGATAATGCTACTGTTTATGTAAGTTCATAGGGATATTTTATCAAGTGAAGGATAATGCTACTATTTAGTTTTAGTATTTAATACTATTTATATTAAGTTTTTCAATTAACATTTCTTTATTTAAACATGTTATCAAGTGATGGATAATCCTACTATTCATGTTAGTTCTTGATTAACATTGGTTTCTTGGGACATGTTATCGAGTTATAAATAATGCTACTGTTTTTGTAAGTTCTTGATTAACATTTCTTTATTTGAACATGTTATCGATTAATGGATAATGCTATTGTTTATGTTAGTTTTTAATTAATATATCTTTATTGGAACATGTTATCGAGCAGGCCATTAGGAAGCATTTTTCAATTGGGGGGGGGGGGGGGCTAAGCCATACATTTTTCAGTTGAGTGGGGGCTATCAACTACCAAAAATTCTTTGACATGACCCCCCCCCCCGTTCCTACGGCCATGTCGAGTGATTATTAATGGATAGTTTTGTTTGTTCTTCAACGTCCCTCTCGAGAATTTTTCACTCATATGGAAACGCCACCACTTGCCGTTGGAGAGCTGCAAATTTATATCTGTACTCGGCACTTAGGGCCATTGAGCAGTGAGGGATCTTTTCGTGCCAACACCTACTGCAACACGGGACCTCGGTTTATACGGTCTCATCCGAAGGACCGATCACCACGTACTGCAGTGGATTCGAACCCGCTACGTAAGGATCAGCTCCTTACTCTGCGACTCTAGAGCAGACGTTCTAACCACTCCACGCGGGCGACTACAACTTTTTTATTTATTATTGTAATTGCAAAATTAAAGAGTGCCATCTTTATTTTTGGCTGGAAATAAAAATATCCAAGAAATAAAAAACTATAATTAAATATCTTTGTTAAAGATAAATTTGGAAATGCGAGTATTACATTTTTCAGTTTTTTTTAATTTGTAAAAACTGAATTTTTCTTTTAAAATTGTTTTTGTCAGACTAAGACAATAAAAGGATTTTTGAAAATCCCCACACATCATTGTTTATAGAAATAATAATAGGAAAATTTAATACATTTAAGGTTCGATGGCCGTGTGGAAGGATGGGTAATTACAGATTTGGATACGATGGAAAATATGACATCGAACCATGGTAGTTTGTTTCTGTATATATATGTCATATTATATAAATAGTGCACGTTTTTGAGGGTAACAGGTGAAATTGACACCCCGAGGAAAACCATTGTCAACCGACGCGTCAGCGGAGGTTGACAATGGTTTTCCGAGGGGTGTCAATTTCACCTGTTACCCTCAAAAACATGCACTATTTATTTTATTATACTGAATGTCTTATTGATTTCGGATGTCATAAAAAAAAATTTGGAGATCGTCGTTAAGTTCACTCCTAGAAAGCTTTCAAACTCTCCGCTTCTATTTTTCTCAATAAGAAAGCTTCCGAAAAGATTTACCAACCTCTTTATTGTTTGTTTGCTACTCAAAAAGTCCTTTATCATCTAAAGTTTGCACTCACAAGGATGTTTCGTCAGTCGTTTGTTGTTTTTAAGTAAGCTACATCGGACGCAAGCTTTGATTGACATCGTTTATTTGGCTTCTTTTAAACGCACAACCGACGTTTTGAAAATTTTACGGTGAACCGTACGCGCATAATTTGAACGCATGTGATATTTTCGTAATGTTACCCGTTGTCAAGTATGTTGCTAACGCTGAGGGTAACATTACGGATTGTTAAATGCTTCTAAACCAATCAGATTTTAGTATTTAATATGAAAGTATAATAATCTCTAATGTCAAAAGCACTGGGTTTCTTTAATGAAAAGTTATCAAGAAATGTATAATGTTCTTTAGTATGTACCCTGTTATCAAACTGGATTGCTTCTACATATAAACTTTACGCAAGTACCTTATTTTGTATTGTAGCGACCCGTTCTCACCCGACGTAATGAAAGCTGTTAGGGAACAACGGGATGCGTCAATGAAGTCCGATACAGATACAGAGCACAAACTTACCTCCAATGATTTGAAAGGTTTCTATATATCATTATCTCCCTTGCAGATATACTTTGGATTAAGTATATAATATTTCTCTAGAATTTTACCATACCCTGAAAATCAGTTAGCTTGCCTTTGATCTATATGATTAAAGGTTTATTGATGTTTTATATGAAATTTGCAGGTTATTCTGAAATACAAAGTACACCACACAACACAACTGAACAGAGCATCATGCGGGAAGTTAACGGAAATCTATCGTGGCGGAATACAATATCAAATCAAGGTCGAAGTACAGTGTTACGAGAGGCGACTGATACAGAGTCAACCAAACAATTGTATGAACAAATTATACAACGTGAGCAAGTAACGTGTAATGATAGAAGAAATGTTACCAACATCCAAACAGAAAACTTCCCCATGACTATTTCAGATGAAGATCTGGAAACTGATGAAGGACATAATATTGGTCTAGAAGGCAACTCAGTGGAACGTATATCTAGAAGTTCTAAAGATATCGATAGATCTGCAAGTCCAGACGAATATCACAATCCCCTCTCTGTGAATTCATCTGTGATTGTGAAAAACTGTGTTTCTGGTAAAGGAAAATCTAGCATCAATGCCTCAACTATATTGTCAAATAATAAAATTACTTACAAAAATCCTGACCTATGTGTAGCTGGAATAAATAAAGATACTGTTCAGATAGAAACATATGCAGAAATGGAATCAAACGTGGCAATGACTTCGCAAAATCATACAACAAATCACTTTTATCTAAATTTAGCAAATCGGAATCTATCCTGGCAGTGGCAGGACAACACTGGTGTTTGGGTAGACTATTCTGAACACGTGAACAATTTGATAAACTATAGACTTCGACAGCGCCCAATGGCGACGGTCTTGATTTCTAATAATGATGAAAGGTGAGTGTGTGCGATTGAACAAAGTACAGCAATAAGAAAAAAGTATTGAAATACATGTAGTAACGAATGTGCAGAAATTAGTAGAAATAGCTTCACTTAGGGAAAGATACAGCATCGTAAATGAAATTTTATTTGCAGTTCGTGTTGTTTTTTATTCTCAGACCTATTTTTTTGCATTAGTTTTAGAATTGTAGCATCAAAGATGATACAGATCAACACAAAAACAAAAGAAAGACACAACATTAGATGCAGGAATACTTAATGCCAGTGTTGACACAGCAGAAATAAATATGTCTGGAATAAGACAAGAAATGTCACCGAAACACATCAAACTATTCATAATTATCTGATATCATTTGACAAGATTTTGTTTCAAATTCTTTTGATGTATTTACATGAGTTGCTAAAAAATTATATAGCGAAAAATGCTCTTTAGAAATAGCATGATAAAAACAAATTTCAGAATCCATTTAAAAAAGTTGATCTTTTTTGATATATTTATATGTACACGTGTACGTGATGATATATATGATAAGTAAATGATATAAAATAATAAAAAATCTTGACATGCTTCTTTTTTTTCCGTTGCATTATGTTAATCCTTAAATCGACAAAAATGTTAACTTTGCAAAATAACATAAACTTTATGAAAAACTTGAAAACATCTTTTTCTATTGTCCACATCCCTTATTTATTTCTCAATATACCAATATCACCCACATTAGGTTTTTATGTCTCTCAGTTGATTCGATACTCAGGAGCATGTTCTGCGTAAGAACAATGTCTAAGCCAAAGATGACTACTGACAAATGGTTGTATAAATCTCGTATAAAGTCTACGTTCCGCAAATTCTAACCTTGTTTGTAAATACAACCTGCCGTTAGGTCGAATGATGACTGATGTATTTAATACAAATTGTTCTGTCCATTACTTTAATATTGAATTGTCTAAGAATTCTATCAAGATAAAAGGCACAGGGCAGTGTGATCAGTCGACAGAGGATGTTCACTCCTCCATGGCACCTGATCCCACCTCTGATATGTGTTTACTCTGCTCTCAATTTTATTGTTTAATTGGACTCATGAGCATGGTTACTGTTTGTTATGTTCAGATTTCAATTGGAAATAAAGGAATACAAGACGAAGATGGTCTAATATGTCAGATACGGGACTGGGACGAGATGCGAAGCACCGAATCTCAGTCCCGTATCTGACATAATAGACCATCTGAGTTTTTGTATCTTACTTAAAACATTTTTTCGATGCACTTTTGAATTGACTATTTTCAAAATACGATACTGAATGTTGGTGACCAAACCAGATGAATAGGGGTGCTTCGGGGTTTAAGACATTTTTTTCAGAGGGATGAATAAAAACCCTTACTTAACCCCAATCATGTATTATATATTGTTGTGGCACTCTACGGTTGCGTTAAAAAGAGCTGAGCAACTTCACGACATCAAGCGATTCTGGGAGTAGTGTGAAGGATTCATTTTTTTAACAGATGAAGATGTAGTAAGTGACCAGTGGGCAAATTTTCCAGGAAAATTAATTTGGAAATATATATTGAAATTAAATTTTACGGGAAAAAATCGGAGTTGTATTGGGATATATTTACAGATCGAATGTAAACTTGTCCGCATTTCGCTTTTTCTTCCCCTGAATGCTAACATTCTTAAGTGAACCACTTTCGTGGATTTATTTGGATACCGGTAGTTTCACAATCAGTGACCTGGGTATAAATTCCAAGGGATTTCTGGGATATTCCTACTTTGGAAGTTTCTTTCCTTGAACTGAATTATGAGATGTTCATCTCCATATACCATGAAATGGATTCTATATAGCTTCAACTGGATTACGAGATCTTGATTTCTATAAAAAAAAATGCATATTTTTTGTCTATTTGTTCATTTATCCAGTCGTTGTGTAAAAGCTAGGTGAACTCAACCTTTGTTTCACATAGTCAGGTATTATTTTGGAGTACAATATTAGAAATAATACTGTACTCCTGAAAATCATATTGGACTAGGCTAATACATCCTTTGAAATATGAGACTTAGAAACAAAAGAACGACGTCACAAAAATGTTTTAAACATAGCAAGCATTCAGTCCTTGGTTTACATTGTCCAATTTCTCTTTTGTACAGCAATTGTAGAAGAAACAATATCATTGAACTAGGAATGTAGAATATTAAAATATTGTTGTAAAAATTGATGAAGAACATTATCCGACATTTTCACTAGGATCTAAATTAAGTGGAATAAAAAAAAAACGTTACGAAATTGAATATAATGTATAAGGATATCCACAAATAACAGGATAAATTAAAACTCAATTATAGACAATCAATGGCTAAAGCATCGCTTTATCCGTACTCTTGTTTTATCCATTTAATGCAGCAAATCACCTTCACAACGAGCACTTTTATTGCAAATTCACCGAACAATGAACTACTATTTCATTTACCCAGTTCAAAATTACAGTTTTTGCAGCAAATTATCAAGGCATGCTCATTTTCCCATTTCCATTTCCGGTTGTAAAAGGTTTGCTTATCAATAAAAATGGTCTGGACCGGTTAGAATAATCAAATCATTTTTAATTTTATGGCTTCGGGAATTGGATCATAAAAAGTTCTTGCTCATCAGCGACAATGACTTACCCTTTACAGTATGTTCTAGCATCTCACTGCCTGTGCTGCAATAACAAGAAATCTAACAAAGTTATATTGGAAACCACATCAATAAAATCTTGACCTTTTCCCATTGACCTTTCATCTAGCAGCACTAAAACCTTAAGTAACTATTGTTAATCGATAAAACCTCGTCGATAGATCTAAAATAACGAGTTGAGGGCCACAGCAAGTGTTTTCCTTTCATGTATAAGTTTTTGGATAAATTCTGCTTCATAGGAATATAAAAGTAGGTCCGCTAATAAAGGAGCACAATTCGTGTCCATTGCAATCCCAATAGACCGAGTCTCCAAAAACTACAAAGATGTTGTCAAAGAATTAAAAAAAGACTCCATATAACTTGAGAATGTTTGCATATTAATATGGTAAAGTGTGGTCTGCTACCCTTGAAAGATTTTAACTTCGTTCGTATTCTCAAGTTAAACTTTGGCTGCCTATTTTAGTCCTATCTTATCCGAAGTGAACAAATATGATTCTGCACTACATTGGAATGCTTGCAAATTGATAAGTGGTTTTTGAGAAGATTTAAAAAGAAATTGTAATATATTGTAAAATTTTGATTACTCATTGTGGCATCAAACCTTGCCCTCCGAGGCCATGATCTGAATCAACTTGAATCTTAACTATCTGAGCATGCCTCTATATTAAGGTGATCAACCATAGCCCAGCTCTTCTTGTTCTGCACTATTTGAAGATGTTTGAGGATGTTTACATATTACCATGACTAAACATTGCCCTGCTGTTCTTAAGAAGATTTCTTAAGAATTTTCCTACATGCCCATATAAAAATATATACCATGGGACCATGTTTTGAAAAATAATCTTTTCTGGCCCAGTAGTTCTTAAGAAAAAAATCTTTTTCAATGATCCAGCCTTTTTGCCTTTTCTTGATTATCTTCTCTTTGGAGAAACATGACCCTTAATTTGGACAATTTATTTTTTCCCCAAAAATTCTCTGTACTGAGTATTAAGTTTGGTGGGTCCAATGGTTCTGGAGAAGAAGTCGGAAATGTGTAGAGTTTACATATAGAAAGATGCTAGACATTACAAAAGAGCAGAAAAGCTCCAGTGAGCTAATATATCAGTTAAGCTATTTTTATATACTTAGGTGCTTTACTTGTCATAATACAATTGTATCTTAATTTGGGATGAAGATGATTTGATATTGAAACGATGCATTGAGGTTGATTTATTCCAAAAGATTTAAATTCCATTGTACAATTATCAACCTCTCGTTTCGACTCGACATATTTTGTTGTAGTTTTCAGTGTATATCCAGCAAATTATTTACTATTGTTTCTTAAATTCTCCGTTTAATTGTGCCAAAATTAAAAATGACATCAGTTTTGTTTAAACTGAATTTAACAAAGTTGCTTAAGTTTAGCTTTTTGCATTTGTATATATTAGTTTCCTTCCTGTGTTTTTGTGCCTGTTTAATAATTATGATACATAAAAACTTCCTGTTGTATAGGGCTCTATGAACTAACAGCAAAAATAAGGCAAGTCTTTTATTTAGTGTTTTTATCTATTACAATGAAAATTTTAGTCAGCTTTGATTAGTATTTTCCTGATTTTTATCCTGAATCGTTAACTTCTGATATGTGAATAACAAAATTGTTTTCAGGACACTGGTATGGAAACTACTATGCATGAAGCAATGTGGCTCTCGCTGGCCAAAATTGAAGCTGGAAAACGTACGTTGTTTTATTATTATGATAAACAACTATATGAGCAATCAAACAAAACAGTGAAATGTTATTACTTACATTTTACATTGCCTAGATATCTTATCGAGAGGAAAGACAGGTATAAGCTGATATCTTTTTAGGAAGTGTAAATTATACAAGAATATTAAACTAAAACAGCGCAGGCAAAATTGTGCTTGTAAATGTAAAATGAGTGAAATGAAATATGGAGATAACGAACAGTAATCAAGCTAAAAAAATCCATTGAAACAATGCCATGTTTAAACACTGTCATAACAATCAGTGTGAAAAACTTCAGTCAGCATTCGACTTAATGACAGATTGTATTTGCTGACAACGTCATTGTATCGGCCATAGAACTTGCGAAATGATGACTTTAAACGAGACTGTTGATATTCTTGTTTCATCAACTTGTTTGTCAATAACTTGCCTCGTTTAAGAAATTGTTCGTACATATAGAGCATGAAAATTAATCATTGAGATTAAAGTCATATATGGTGTATTTTTTATAAGTTCAGATAACCAAAATTTAAAATATCTTTCTATTTGATTTATTACTTTACATAAAGATAGAACTTTTCTGTAAATTACACAATTAAAATCAACGGCGTTTCAAAGATATCAAAAAATTAAAACAATAACCAATTTATTTAATTGAATTAATTTTAATTAATTTAATTTAATTAATACATGATCATCCACAAATGGAAGAACATCATAATCAGAGGAATAAAATTTGTTACTAAATCTTATAATAGCAATACCTTTTGTGATTTCTATTGAGAAAAATGGTAAGAGGATATCACCCTTAATATAATGTGTTCTAACTAATCACTTTTAAATTATGATCTAACTCACTCTTTTATTGTAGAGAAAGCTCATCGATATCAAAAGGGGAGAGGAAGCTGTGTTCTATTCATACTGGACTTTTCGGAGAGTATGAGAGGGGA